CAGCGGCGGCCTGAGCAGCAAACATCCGCGTTCCCATTCTGGGTCTGGAGGCCCGGGCGCAGAGCGCCTCTCTCTCTCTCTCTCTCTCTCTCTCTCTCTCTCTCTCTCTCGGAGCCTAGTCCCACCCGAGGGCCCCCCTCCTGCCACCCTCTCCGGGGGTTAGGTCTCCAGGAGGAAAGTCTACGCTTTCTTTAATGCTTTCCCTTCAGGAGGCGAACATGTCTCCCCAGGGAGACCGGGGGAGGATGGTCACTGCAGTCCAGGGGGAACCAGGACTTTTGGACTAGGATGGAAAAGGTGTTCAAGATGATACAGTTTCCAGTGCTAGGTCGGAGATGCCCTAGAGCTTGGTGGTCCATGCAGGTGAAAAGTGACCACAGGTTCCTGGCATATGCAGACCAGAGGCCACCTGCACCTGCGGGGTCAGGTGTTGTTACTAAGCAAGGACTTGCTGCCCAATGTGCACAGAAGCCAATGCTATGACATTGGCTTTTGATAAAAGAAAAGGCTTTATTGCAGTCAACCGGCAATGAGACAGGCTCAAATCTGTCTCCCCAATTGTGGGTTTGGGTGAAATTTAAGGGGTTAGGGAAGGACAGGCTGGGCTGTGGAAGTGCTGCAGGGCAGGCTTCAGCGCTGGGTCCTGGATAATGGACCAGTGACCGAGTTCCAGTCAAGTCCTAGGTCTTTGGTTCCGTGGCGGCGGGGCGGGGGGGCGGCAGGGGGGGCAGGGCACACTTTGGTTCTGGGTATTATTGAAAGTCAAAATTCTCTCCTTTGAGCGTATTTGAGCATGACATGCAGTTTTGTTCTGTAGTCCCTGGAAAACAAGTCAGTATCTTGTTAGAACGAGGGTAAGGCCAGTGTGAGCTGGTTCTGTGGTTGCTGTGGGACAGGACTGTGTTTGAGGTACTACAGAGGGTGACCCACGTACCCAGTCCAACCCTGCACAGGCACTTAGTGGAATATTAGTAGCTGACTTCGCCCCATCCGAAGGGGGTTTGGACTCAACGATAGCATCACAATATAGTCCAACGCTCCAAAGTACCATCTACTCCTGTGCAGCTTCAGGACGTATAATCTGCTCTACGGAAAAGCCAAAAAAACTGTCTGTTGACTCTGCAGTCAGGGTAGCCTTGGTTTAGAATTGTGATGCCTGAGAAACTTGTCTACCTGGAGCCTTTCCAGAAGTGATCTCGCTCGCTCTCCTCCCCTCTGCCATTAATTTTCCTGACAGGCTAGAAGAATGTTTGAAGGTGAGATGGCCAGTTTAACTGCCATCCTGAAAACAGACACAGTGAAAGTGCCCAAATCCATCAAGGTCCTGGATGCCCCGGGAGGCAGCAGCATGCTAGTGATGGAGCATTTGGACATGCGGTATCTGAGCAGGTACGTCTTGGCACCTTCCCCTCTGGTTGGCTTTGGTTTTCTTCTGAGTGGTTCCTCCATACCCGAAGCTTGCACTTGGGGTGTAACTTTGTGGATGTGATACAAGGGACCCACCACCCACACATAATGAGCACCCTGCAAGCCAAAGGCAACAGGAAGGGACTCTCTCCAGGTGAGATGCTCACAGAGGACTTGGCTGCAAGCTCAGATGAGGCTGCGAAAGACCATCCACTAATGAGGGCCCATCATCTCCCTCTTGCTTCACCAAAACAGACTTTATATCCTCAAAATGTGTGACTTCCTTTGTGTGGCCTGAGCCCTTTCAGGTGGATGTAATATTCTCTTTTGTGCCACGTGTTCAGTTGCTGCCTTTTGGTTTCACAGTCATGCTGCCAAGCTTGGAGCCCAGCTAGCAGATCTGCACCTAGAGAATAAAAGGCGTGGAGAGACGCTGCAGAAGGAGGCCAGCAGAGTGGGTATGACATCTTGTGGGCCAAGGGGACCCCACCTGGAGGAGGACACTGGGCTCTTATGGGTGTCTAGGTGGGGTTATGCCACAGCCACATGAGTGAGGGTCAGACCTGCGCTGATGCCAAAGGAAAGGAATGTCAACCCCACGATGCATGTTTGGGGTGCGGTGAGCACAGTGAACGCAGTTTGTCTGCCACAAATGGCAGCTGTGAGCCATTCTGTCTGGGCGTCCTCTGGGCACCGTCTGGTGTCTCTCCTAGAAAGCAGTGGGTGGCCTGACTGTGAAGTGGGACAGAACAGGCTCTGGTTCTGGGTCCTGAGGGTCGTTGGAGACCAGGCCCTGTCTGTCTCTGGATGGGACTCAGGAGGAGGAGGCACGCTGACATCAGGTCTCCAGCTACGCTGAGCTCCCAGAAGAGGGCCGAGGGAGCAAGGCAACTAGTCGTCAGTCCTGTTTTTCTTCTGCTTCCAAGGGAGAGGAGGTGGGCAGGAGGAACGGCCCTTCGTAGACCAGTTTGGGTTTGACGTGGTGACGTGTTGTGGATATCTCCCCCAGGTGAGTGACGCCTGCATTTTCCTGTCTCCCAAGTGGGAAAGCTGTTCAGAAACAGCTGGGAAAGCACACCTCTCCCTTTTTGGTGAAGTTTAGTAAGTCTGTGCTCCCTTTCTTTCTGTGCTAATTTTTAAGAGGTTGACATGAGCTTTACCTCTCATGGGCTGTGTAAGCTCAGAGAATCCGAGAAGGCCAGCAAGTTAGGATGCTGGATTTCAAGGTGGGTAAAAATTAGAAAACTTTTAAATGTTTTATTTTAAATAGTAAGCTCTCAAAGGTAGCATAATGAAAAGGGATGGTAACTTTCAGTTTTATGATTTTACGGTTGGCTCCCCTGGGAATTCTCCTTGACGCCTCGCAAACGCAGAGTGGTTAGGGTGGTGGATGTGCTCTCAGCAAAAGGCAGGTGGCTCCTTGGAAGGGATCTGCTGTAGAAAACTTTCGGGGATTTTGAGGTGGGCACGGGGGTGCAGTAGACACTATTCTGATTCTGAAATGTTTTGGAGGTTGTCCAGGAACTTGCATGGGGTGGCAGGTGGCTGACAGCTGCGCCTCCTGTTCCATGCTGCTCTGGGGTGTCTCAGCTGGCTCTGCTCCTCTCTCTCCCACCTGTACCTTGCTGGCTGGTTGTGTGCACATGTGTCAGGGTGCACATGTGTGAGAGTATAGGTGTGTGCACATGTGTGAGAGTACGTGTATGAGTGTGAGTGAGTGCACTTTGTGAGCATGATACTCTGTCATTTGGTGTCACATACTGCCCCTGGGCTGCCTGCTCTTGTGTACGTCTGTCTTGCTCCCCCCCCCCCCCCCCCCCCCCCCCCCCCCTCCCCCCCCCCCCCCCCGCCCCACCCCCATGGTCAGCACCTGTGGCCTGGATGTCCTCTCTCAGCGGTCTTTTTGAACAGGGTTCCACGTGACTTCCCATGTTACCACTCTTGAGAGGGCAGTGCCAGCTGCTTGGGAGGGGCCGAAGAGGGGTCCTCTATGGCCAGGTGGATGGACAGAAGTGAGCCACAGGGTCAGAGAAGGCCAGCCAGCTCTGGCCTCTGTGCTCCTGTGTGAGTATAGATCGAAAGAAAACATCCCAAGGCAGGAAGAGATTAACCAAAGAACGTGTATGCATGTACGAATAGCCCACGGACACGGACAATAGTGCAGTGAAGGCCTGGGGAGGGGGCGGGAACGGAGTGGAGGGTGTCAATGGGGGAAAAAGGGACATTTGTAATACTTTCAACAATAAAGATAAGTTTAAAAAAAGAAAGAAAACATCCCAGAGCTCGTCAGAGGGGACCCTGTTGCTCTGCACGGGAATGGCCCCTTGCTTCCCACTGCTCCTGGGATAGGCTCTAAGCTCCCACCTGTCCACAAGGCCCCGGGGGTCCCATCAACTCCCTGCAGCGGGGTCTCAAGCAATCAGTCTTTCCCACTTTGGGGTACCTCCTTCAGCCCTGGCATGTGCCTCTGAGCTCGGCTTTCTCCTTTGCTGTCGCTTGTGCAGGTGAATGACTGGCAGAAGGACTGGGTCACATTCTATGCCCAGCAGCGCATTCAGCCCCAGATGGACATGCTGGCGAAGGGGTCTGGGGACAGAGATGCCCTCGAGCTCTGGTCTGCTCTGCAGGTGAGAGAGCCCCGCTGCGCCCTGTGCCCACCATGCCCTGCAGCCCCACCAGGGAGAGGTGGCAAGCCAGGTACAGCACTGAGATGTGTGGGTGGGCCCGGCCAATCAGATGGCGGTAGGTGTCCCTGCACCCTGCCTGAGTCATGCATGGCCACACGCAGCCACACGTGGGAAAGCGTGCATCCCTCCCACATGCGTCGCTCGTTTCGCTGAGGCTGCCTTTCCTCCTCGCAGTTGAAGATCCCTGATCTGTTCCTTGATCTGGACATCGTCCCAGCCCTGCTCCACGGAGACCTCTGGGGAGGAAACGTAGCAGAGGACTCCTCTGGGCCCATCATCTTTGACCCAGCCTCCTTCTACGGCCACTCGGAGTATGAGCTGGCAATAGCCGGCATGTTTGGGGGCTTTAGTAGCACCTTCTACTCTGCCTACCACAACAAGATCCCCAAGGCCCCCGGATTTGAGAAGCGCCTGAAGTTGTATCAGCTCTTCCACTATTTGAACCACTGGAATCATTTCGGATCAGGGTATAGAGGGTCCTCCCTCAACATCATGAGGAACCTCATCTAGTGAGCTTGCTCCGCTCCGGAGGGAGGCCTGTGCGAGGAGCCTGCCGGAGCCTTAGGTTCAGATGTACCAGATCCTAACCCTCTGGTTCCCCCACAGTCCTCTTCTTCAGGGGTTCTGTCCCATTTCTTCACACCTGGAGAGGCTTCAGACCAACTTTCCAAGCCTTGGAAAGTATGTAATGTCTCAGAAGAGAGGTGTTGTCATCCTAAAGCTGTACATTTCGTTAGACTTCGTAGTTGGATAAACCATACTAGTAATGTGAACAGAGGGACCTCGCAGTGTGGGGCCATGTCAAACCAAACAACTGCCCCAAAGGTAGAGAAGGGAAGTGGCCGGTGTGCCATGCACTGCTGCCACGGGCACCTTCCCACCATCCCCTCCCGTCTCGCCTCCAGGAGTGACTCGAGTTCAGGATGACGCTACTCGATGGCTGAGTGTAGTCTAGGCACGAAACCGTCTCACTAGGGCAGCCGTGGGCAAACTACGGCCCGTTTGAAATGAATAAAACTAAAAAAAAAAAAGACCGTACCCTTTTATGTAATGATGTTTACTTTGAATTTATATTAGTTCACACAAACGCTCCATCCATGCTTTTGCTCCGGCCCTCCGGTCCAGTTTAAGAACCCATTGTGGCCCTCGAGTCAAAAAGTTTGCCCACCCCTGGTCTAGGGGCATCTTACAGTGACCATTCCCTAGACTGAGCACATTCCCTTTGCTTCCTGCTCCGCAGTCTGAGCAGGTCTGGAGATGATTTGGGGAGTGGCCAAACTGCCAGCTTCCGGGGTGTCCTCAGTAGATTCAGGAGCCACTGAATCGACTTCACCCCCCCCCCCTTGCCTGCCGCTCTCTCAGCTTGCCGAGTGTCATTCCTTTGCTTCAGATATGCTCGCACTAAGCCAGTGTTTCCCCCCTTCTCTTTGCAGGGGTGAGGAACGGTCATGAATGGCATTGATGTTAACATGCTTTTGTGCAAACTTTTCAGTGGTTTCTATGATGCAAGGCACCATTTCCCTCATTTAAACCATAATTCAGTGTTTTTCCTAGATATTTGCCAAGAAGCCTTTGTAATGTGTTACTCTAATAAATTGTTTCTTAAAGAGCAAATTTTTTCTTTGACTTTGTTAAGTAAGAGAAGAGCTTCAAACTAAGGGCAGGTGTAGCCTGAGGACTTCCTAATATTTGACTCAGATGCAATTTAACTGCTGTTCCTAGTCACCCTGCGAGATTGTGCACATCGAAGGGATGTTGAAAGCAACTGTCGATTGCATTTTGAGGAAGGAGCCCATTTGTGGCCACCGACGAGGTCTGGGATGGGGCTGGGAGCCAGTGTTAGGGCACCGGCGGTCTCCCGGAGGCTGGTGGGGAGGGTGGATTCATTTTCCTCCTCCGCTTTGTGCTTCTATGCACAGGGCCCTCTGTGTAATTCGGAAGCAGAACGACGCTTTCAGAGTTCTGGTTTTTGTGGGGAGGGAGAGAGGACTGTGACTTTAAGAGCTTGTGGTTGTCGAATGGTCAAAACTAGTAATTCCTAGACTACTGTGTGCTGAGATTTTAGCTTATTTTTCCTGGTCCTGGGGAAACTGTCTCCGAGGGAAAGGGTGCTGAGCCAGCTTCTGACGATGGCACGTGTGCTGTTGTACTGTTTTTCTAAAATTTTTATCATTTATTTTTTAAATCTTCACCTGAGGATATTTTTCATTGATTTTTAGAGAGAGTGGAAGAGAGAAGGAAAGACAGAGAGAAACACTGATGTGAGAGAAACACATCGATTGGAGCCCATGGTAGAGGAAGGGACGCCTTCTGGCTCCCGGTGCCGGGGGAGTGGGGTCACTCACAGGCCCCTCTGGGTTCCGAGAGGCTGAGGTAGGGGAGGCAGCCTCCCCTGGTTCCTGGTCACCCGAGAAAGTGACAGGCCGCTGGGCTCTCAGACCAGGAGGATGGCCCAGACCCCCTCCCGAGAGAATCCTCTTGGGTGCTGTGCCCCCAGCAGCCCCCTGGGCCCTGGACCTCACGCCTAGGAGCACCGCGTTGCCAGCAGTGAGAGCTGGGCCTGAGCTCTCGCCAGCTGTTCACAAGCACAGGGAGACGCCCACAGCGGCACCTGGGAGGGAGGCCGCAGGTGAGAGTGCAGCCCAAGGAGAGGCAGGTGGCGCTTAACTGAACTGATGTTTCTCTCCCTCTCCCTTCCTCTCTGAAATCAATAAAAATATATTTTTTAAAAAGATTTGTCATAATAACTTAGTGTAATGCCTATGTTGCACTGTGGTATAAGGTATAGACAGTCAAACGGTGAATAAAGAAAATAAAGTCCAGCTGGTGTGGCTCAGTGGTTTAGTGTTGACCTATGAACCAGGAGGTCACAGTTCAATTCTCAGTCAAGGCACATGCCCGTGTTTCATGCTCGATCCTTAGTGTGGGGTGTTCAGGAGGCAGCTAATTGATGATTCTCTCTCATTATTGATGTTTCTATCTCTCCCTCTCCCTTCCTCTCTGAAATCAATAAAAATATTTTAAAAAAATAGTTAAACAAATAAAGTTCCTCCCCATCGCTGTGGTCTCTGTAATCAGGAGTCCCACGTGGGTGGGGTCAGCCGCCTTGCCTGGTATCAGAAGCTCCAGAGCTGCCTCTATCTATTGCTGATGGGCACCAGGTGCCCTGATGAGCAAAGGCAAGGCCAGCTGTGGGGCCACTGGGCAGTGCCTGGGCCTGGCAGGACGTGGTTGAGACCCCCAGCCTTGTCTGGTCAGTGGGAGACCTAGCCAGGCCTCTGACGGGGCCACTCCTGGGCTGTGTCCGATACCCTGCTGAGTGGGAGGGGTTCCAGTCCTGGGAGGGCTCCTGGGACCTCTGTGCAGGGAGGTCAGGCCCTACCTCTAGGGCCCTGCGAGCGCCCCCAGTGGGTGAACCCCAACCTGGACTGTCCAGGCACACTAACTCTGCAGACGCATGGGGAGAGCACCGCCCAGCTTCTGTCCCCCCTTGGGATACGTCCTCTCTCTACCCTCCCCCTCCCTCCTTCCCTTCCCCCCTCCCTCTCTCCCTCCCTCCTCCCTCCTCACCCTTCCCGAGAGGCGGAGCCTGGGAGGCGGGAGCTCTGGCGGTCGTTCAGAGCCCGCTGCCCCCGCGGACCAGTCGCCTTCCCGTGCACAGC